AATTACTGTATACCCTTCATCAATTTTATTTGTAGGTAATAATGCCAATGCACAAAACATCTGCACACAAAATTGTGCATTTACATTGGATTTAACAAAGTGCGTTAATCCTCTTGTTCTGATATTTTTTACTAGTGCCTGAAATAACAAGTGAGAATAAACAATACTGTTTAAGATTTATATAATAAAAATAATCTAATTAAGTAGTTTAAATAATATTATAAATACCTGTACATAATGGAAAAAACAAGAATGCTGATCTGCATCTGGATAAACAGATTTAAAAGCATTCAGCAACCCAGATTCAAAATCAGTCATTATATTTGACGGCTTTATAAATGGAAATAATTCTTTGCACTTGCTTAATAATAGAGTATATGCCTCTTCAGTCTTCGATTCCATCAAAGTATAAACAATCGGTATGGACTAAGAAAATAATAAAAATTATTAATGTATACTTACTTAAAAATGTTTAGTTTTAATTAACAGAACTCACGTGGTTTTGGTATATTAAATGCATGATGAAAAGTTGACGGCTTGGTGGAATTGAAGGCACAACTTTAAAAGTTGCGTCAGCATGCAACTCATTACTTCAAAGCATAACAATTTTTCTAATTAGTGTACTGCACGCAAAAATTATTGAACATTTCCCGTGTGTATCTGTAACCTTATCTTGGAAGAAGGGCTGTTGACAACATATATAACGTTGCATATTGAAGTCTAGGAAGTTTGCCAAGTCGCTCAATGACGATGGTAAAACTGGCATAGTTGTTCTCCTGGCTTTTCTCATCGAGATTTCAGCCACTGGCCAGGGGTATAGGGTTGCAGCAGCTGGATTTCTAATAAAATATATTTTAAATATGTACCTATTATCATTTAAGAGCTTGGAACATTTCTGTTTTACCGGACACCCTTTTTTTATTAAAACTTACGTAGTTAAGTATGCTGAAAAACATGGTGAAATCAGAATTTGGCGGTCGGACTTAGTTTCGAAGTTATGTCCTAATGAAGTTCGCTATTTTACGATTTTTACGCATTCGAGCATCACTAGTTTACTGCACCTATTACGAAGTTAAATATACCAAAAGTTTAATCTTAATTTATTTCATTTTATACTTTGAGATCAATATTTCAATTTGTTTGATTTTATGTCTTTCCTTTATATTAGGGGCGCGAATAAATATAACACGTTTGTCCTAATATTATAAATAGGTAGGTACCTAGGAAAAATGTTACTATTGTAATAGTTTTTTATTAGTACGTAATAAAATATCGCAGTTATATGATTAACTGTAGTTATATATTGTTAACTAGTTTTTGTCTAATAGTGGCTAACTAAAGATATAACTTATAATTAATATTTAAATTCATGTTTACCTAATCATTTCTTCGTCATATATTGTCCGGAGTCTTGTTGTTTCTTTTTTAGAACGGTCTTTCAATGTTTGCCTAAATGCTTTTTTTAAAATGTCGTGATTGTGGTCATGTTCATCAGGGTCATGCGTATGTTTCACCAACTCAACAATTGTCCCATTCGCAAGCATTTTAGCAGAGCCTTTGCAATATTTGGTTTTGCAGATCAAATATCTGTATAATATAAAAAAATAAAATCATAAAAATTGAATGATGATTTACTATTTAGTTTATATTTTACTTACCGAACACTCTTATTTTTATGGATGCCTCCATTATTTTTATATACAAAACCTTTATGCTTCATGTTTTAGTAATGTCAAACAAAATAAAAAGATCCAAAAGTCTTCATAAACTGAATAAAATATAAACTATACAAATATATTATCAGTTACAGCAACTAATAAGTACTTATTTATATATAATAGGATTGAATAATATTCTTTATTGAGTAGTTCATTGGTTCATTGGTTCACTATCGATATCGTTTATCGAGTAACAATTATTGGAAAAATTGAACTTTGAACACTTATATATTACTGACATCAGATCGTATACAGTATCTCATTTTAGTATATCACCTAATTAGAAGGTAGGTACTCAAGTTAGATTAATACTACGTTGGTTGCTCGATTAAAAATAATTCGGAAAACATATTTTTCCGTATTCATTTCGAAAAAGCCGTCCAAAGTACACCGGGCAGCCAAATGTGAGGTAATATCGTGAATATATCGTATAGTCGAAATTTTATTATATTTCTGGAGCTCAAGTTCCCCACGTGCCGCACATGGGTAGTACATATTCTGAATCTTTATCATAATGCGAAATCTTTAACAGATAAAATAGAATCCGTCTGAAACTATCTGTAATTCACCTTTTGAGGATCTAGACACATTTTTTAATAAATGTTTAGTGATTAGTATTTTATTTATGTTTTATTATACATTTTTAAATATCATATTTTTACAATATTTTAATCACCTCGTTATTATAGCACTCTATTGATAGTTGATACCTGAATTAACATTATATGGTATAATTATAATTATTTTTATTATAAACATTATTCCTCTTGTAATGACATTGTTTTTTTAGTGGTCAATGGTCATGCATACATTGTATAAAGCTATGATCGTTATATTACTCAAAATTGTTTCATTATGTTATATTTTCTAATGGTAATTACTATTTTTTTAAATTAGGTAGGTACATAATGTGCATAATAGATTTCATTATTTTAAAAATAATAATAATTATTATTCATCCTTTGACGATTTTGAATTCTTAATTATATCTGAAAAATAAATATTTTTTTTAAAAACCCTTGTAAGATATGAATAGGCAACAGAGTATGCAGGAATATGGTTACCTACCTTATCATAATTGATAAGTGCTAAACTTCTGTTTTTACCGTACTTTAAAAAACTGTCCCGATTCGTACGATTCTGTGTAGTATAATTCTAATACATACCAATCCTTTGTAAACGGTTTTTGAGAAAATAATTTCCTGACAAACATATTCAATGGTATTATTGTTCCAAAAAAAAAACATTCTGAAAAAAATAATTCCATTAAATAAAATTCTTGTTGAATAGTGTTCATGAAAAATATGGTTCATAGAAATATCGTTCTGATATTAATTTTCCTGAAAAATACTTTCCCGTTTTTTACGGCCCTCCCTATTGGTGACCCTATGTCTATGGCTTCGACATCTGGTGTAAATATTGGTACAGGATTGTGCAATCAAAGAAATGTACCTGGTCTATACGCCTGTTGTTACCGCGTAATTACCTTTAAGACGGGTGAAAGACGTTAATCTATAGCATTACCCCATTATCATCTCCACCAGTCTAACGCAGGATGCCAGTCCATAGCACTATACACCAAAAAAAATGTCAAAAAAAGTGGACCATTCTTTTTTAAAACAATTTACAAAAGATTTGCAATCATTCAGTGTAGTTGATAATCCAAGTTTCAAAGAATTTGTACATTTACTTAATCCAAAATATAAAATTCTTAACCGCCATTCTGTATCTAAAGTTTTAATCCCAGCAGAATATGAAAAATGTATGAATGCAATGAAAATTTTAATTGATATAGAATTGGAAACTTGTTGTATTACAACTGACTGTTGGACTTCTAGAAATACAAAAGGATTTATGGCTATCACATAAATTTAATTGATCTAAATTTTGTACTTCGGTCAGTTTTGTTGAGTTGTCACCCTTATAGTGTAAGTCATACAATTGAAAATCTTAGTAAGGAGATTAAAAATGTCTTATAAACATGGGGCGTGGATAAAACAATTGTATCTTCTGTGTCAGACAATGTATACAATATAAAAAATGTATTAAGTACTTTAAAATTAAAAAATCTTGGTCGTTTTGTTCATACCCATAATTTAATTGTAGTCTGCATTAAAACAAGAATCCAGTCTCATTGATAATGTTAGAGCGAATTCAACACATTTTAGAAAAAGTATCACTTACATCACAAGCTAATGACTTACCAAACAAATTTAGGGAAAAAGCAAATAAAAAAAATGCTTCAAGATGTTTCAACGTGTTGGAACTCAACATTTTATATGCTACAGCGTTTTGTTGATTTGGAATTGGCAATCAGAGGAACAATAGGGCTTTAGGACAAAGCCCTAGACAGCTTAAACTCAGAGGAATGGTTAAGTGTTAGAGAATTTTGCAAAGTGTTAAGCCAATTTGAAGAAGCAATTAAAGCAATCAGTGGCGAACAGTACATGGCAGCTTATTGACAATTATTATTGTTCACGGTCTTCAAAATATCTGTGAACTAATGAAAAAATGTAATTACTTGAAAGAACAAATGATTTAATTAATAATTTAGTTACCGGTATAAATGACAGACAAAGCTAGGGAAACCTTGAAAAAAGTAATACTTTAGGGAAATGTACGTTTCTGGATCCCCGATTTAAAAATGTAAGATTTGTAAACAACATTAGTATGCTAAATACTATAAAAAATGACATCATCGATTCCACAAGTCAATCAATTTCTTTGTCCAGATCTGAAGTTACTACTACATCAAATATTGAACTTTCAAAATCCTTAGAAAGCACATCTGCACCTAAAGAAAAGACATTTTCAATTTGGGAAACTATTGATACTTAAGTTACTCATATTCACCCGGTTGAAAGAACTTCAAGATCACAGGCAATAATAGAAGTTCAGCGTTACACGGAAGAAGCATTAGTTTTGAGAAATTCTAATCCTTTGATATGATGGAAAGAACAAAAACACAATCTTCCATTTCTTAGCATTTTGGTGAGAAGAATGTTGTGCTGTTTTAGTTCATCAGTTCCATGCGAGCATGTATTTTCAAAAGCCGGTTTAATATTATCTGACCGGAGATGCCATTTAAATTCTAAAAAACCACAGATGCTGTTGTTCTTAAATCAAAATGGATAATTATTAGATAGAGCCATTAGTGTGTTAGTCATTACCTTAAATTGACAGTCTATAGTTCAATAATAAATAATTTTTGTTTTAGATTTAACAAAATTATGATTGAATATTTCTCATCTAATGTTCAATAATCACTAATGTAAAATATATTGAGCATTGACATATCCTGTACCGGCTGTACCCACATATTATGGCCATTTAATTGATGTTTAGTTTAATAGGTACCAATCACCAGTGATACATACTGTTCATGCTACTAGGTACTATACTTACTATGTTCTCTATACATAAATCAAAATATCAGTATATCACTATAAAGCTTGAATAAAAATACAACATTATTTAAATTTTAATATACTAGTCTAAGCACTAAAATATAGTCCATGGTCTTTTGTACGTATAGACTAGAATATATTATAAAACAAAGTTAACACACGTCAATTTCAAGCAGTTAAAACAAAAAGCTGAGACATCGTTCACAATATTTATGGCGGCAAACATTGAAAAATGAATACATTACGGAGTATTATCTATAAAGACAGAGATAGAAATACCCAAAATATTCGTCACGGACCAAGATATTAGATATTATTATAACCTTAGTCCGTGGCACAGATATATATCTGTGGTCCGTGGATTCGCTTTCTCTTTCTAACACACTAGCTCCGTGTTATTTACATTAGTCATATGGGCGGCGAGCGTTATTATGTAGTTCAATGGTCTGTGGTTATACAGTAATGCTGGTATTACTCTGCGTCAATGGTATCAGTAGCGCCCCATATGTGATTAAAAATGTCAAAAATGAAAAAGTAGCAATCACTGGTTACTGGTATTTCCATATCTGAGTAACCGTGTGTGACTGCTGCTTTGGAAGTTTGGAATCACTGTGAAAAAATCACTGCCACAGTGCTACTGCTATTTTACGCCATCACTACTGAATTCACGACGGACACGTTCGGCGTTCGTCCATTCTGCATTCGTTCTGAGCTCTGTTGTCCTGTTTCTGTCGACATCTAACAAATTACAATTGGCTACTCAACACTCGCTGACTCGTTGCTGCGACCAACCCTCGGCCGCCGCGCGTACTGTCCAGAACACTCCGAAGCCATCATTCCGCAGGTGTGTACACATAGTATATTGTATGGAAGTAAACAGTGTTCGTATTTAATACTTCCACGTGTCGTCGTTTGAGTGAATATATTATACTTATACATATTGTACTCCGTCTCAAAAGTAGGTTAGGCTCCACGCATTTGATCTATAGCTGCACCTGGGCTATTTGAACCAGAGCGCTCGGATCGGCTGTTAAGCCATCTTCGTTCTACAAAACTCTCCTAATATTGCCTCTAAACATTAAATCATTTTATAGATACATTTAGGGCAACACCGGTAGTTTTATTATTTTTCTACAGATTATTATAACATGGTGTATGATACTGGTTTTGGTAGTTGTTGGGTTCAAGCATCTGTGGTCGTCATTCATGGTGCTCGAAATCGGTGTATTCTATTTCGACTTTTGAGACGAACTACAGTAATTAATATCATACAAAGAAACTACTTATGTCATTTTTTTCTTAGTGCTCAAACTGCTGCAGTCTTGCGCTTGACCACCTGCAATTCGTCGTTCAGCAGTCCGAGGCAGCTACAGCCGTGCCTATCAGGAAACATTTCAGGTATAAACAGCTTACTACGATGGTAAATATGTGTACTTTAACGAGTTAGTTTCGCTTAGCGGTGTCCTCAGATTTATTGAAAGGAAGGGATGGAGATATGCCATTTTTTACTATTCTCAGACTACGTTTATATATGGCAATAAATTTACTTTCATTGTCTTATCATATATTTTATATGACAAAAAAAGCAAAAGAGGATGTATTATTTACAACCAATTTTAAAACATATGATCTGTAATTACTAATTAGTGTTATTAAACAAATTAAACAACTAGTGTTAAAACATATTAAACCATTAGATATTTCCGTGTGTTATGTTTCATCAATATCTGATTTCTTTATGTATAATAAAAATTGCGACACTCCAATTAGATGCATAATATGTCGTAATATAATATACATAATAGATTCTTAGATTAAGCTGTACTGCGGTTTAGAAGTTCTTTATAACTTTTGGATGGAAATGTCACACGACAGATAGTGTGAAGACAAAATAGATGATAATTTAATTAATGTGGATATTATAAGTTATACGATGGTTTTAATGTATAAATATTAAATTATATTAAAATAATGTTATAACTTATAAATATTTATAATGCGTGCATTGAAAATTAAAATACTCATTTAGAACCTAATATCTCATAAATATACCATTTACTCGTTTTAAACCACTTTGTGATTTCTACATTAGAGTTAAACTATAAAAATATTTGCACTCTTCTAATATTCATTGTTTACCTACGCTCAATTTTAGAATACCTCTTGTTCATTACATTTAAAATTTATAAATTAAATAATTATATTGGAATGTCGCTAAATTATTATGACCTATAGCTCATTTCAACTATGTAAAAAAACTTACAATAGAAAAATCGAAACTATATTAAATGATCTATTATCAAATTGGGGGTCACTTTTTCTGGTAATCTTTTGAAAATAATTATGAACATTTTGAATCTATGAAAATCTAAAATTTTCTTTCTGAGTTACTATAAAATTTAATTTCAAATCTGTTTTCATTAACCTTTGACAAGACACCTTTGTACATTTATACATTTTACTTGAGTGGATCTTGTGGGTTGGGCAATAAATGTGTAATAGACATGACAAGCCGTCATATGAGTATCATGTATTTAATGATAATATTCTTTCAAGTACTTAGAAATTGGCTGTGGCTAAATATTAATATATTATTAAACATAATTTTATTTACAAGATTCCAATCAAAATAAATGATTCTAGACTAGACACAAAAAGTAAATGATTATGATTATAGATATAGTTTGTTTTACTAATAAGATTGAAATAATAATAGCAAAAAAAATATTGACATTTCTGAAATATTAAAATTTTAACTGAAAAGTTGTAAAATAAATTGTATATGGATATAAATTAACTACATGTACTGTGTATCCTAAAAAACAGGGTACACTTTATTACTCATTACCCTATAAATATCTTACAATTCTTTTTGCAGGACATTAAACTAGACTTTTAACAGAAGTTAATCCATCAAAATATCTCAAAAAAGATCAATCCGAAAATATTTCAAATAGGGGTTGTCATTTAAAAAAAAAATGAAGTTTTGTTGAGCATTTGCAATATACATAAGACAAAAAACATTTAAGTCATAAGAATTTATAATCCATTAGTCTAGTTTAATGTCTCGCAAACAGAATTGAAAAATGTTTTTAGGGTAATGAGTGATAAAGTGTGCCTTGTTTCTCGGGGCATGCGGTAATATGAATTATATGAAAGAAATAGAATACTATAATATATTTTCAAATATTAGAACATTATATAAGTAACTGATAGTTATATAATCAATTTTTTTTCCTTATCAAAACTGTATCTTAAATCCCCTTAAATAGATTTTGGAGCTGCATCTACCATTAGTCAGAAGAATCAAAAGACACCCACCCTCAAGTCCACCATGGAGTAAGTTTTTCACTAAATGAAATTATAACTATAATAGTTATAATTAATTTTTGATTTGTATTATTTACTTTTAGACTGACTAGAACTAACAACTACTACCGGATGTTACAAGGTCTGAAATCAAATATACTAAATTTAAAAAAAAACCGTATATTATAACATGGTTTCAATCATGACAAAATAGATAGGTATCATCACAGTTTTTTGATACCCATCCTCCGTTCTTATATATACATACATATATAACATAGAAACAAATCAACCAATCAGAAGTGGAGAACTACAATATGGGCTAGAGGCGACGGAAAGACTGAAGGACATACTGAAAAAAACTGTTTCAGCTGTGATGATATCGATCTAATTTTTCATAGTATTTATGTCCCCCTAATTGTGTAAATAATGTTTTTAATTTTGTCCAAAGATTTAAAATCACTCAAAGAGAAAAATTCCAAACTGAACGGAAAAATTGAAATTCTTACAACATCATCAAATTCATTGACCACACAGTTGAAAGAGGTAAAAGATAGAAATGCTATGCTTACTCTGGAATTTAATGCAGATCTGTTGGCAGATAAGGATTACCAGTGCTCTATTTGTCATGAAATATTTATAAAGGTAAAACTTTATCAACTTTTCAGGAAATATAATATGCGTAATAATGATACAATTAAAAATATAACTAATTTTAGAGAACCACATTGTCATAAGAATTCAACTTATCACTTTAATGATTTTATTTTATTTTTATTTTAGCCAGTATTGCTTAGTTGCACTCACATGTTTTGTAAATGGTGCATTGACAATTGGTCAAAGAAAAATAATTGTTGTCCAATATGTCTGGTTCCTATAACCAGTGTTGTACACTGTTTGAGTATGAACAATTTCATCGAAAAAAGAATGGAAATTATGCCAGCCGCAATTAGGTTGGAGCGCAAGAATTTAGAAGAAGGCCGAAAAGAAATAAATAATGCTTGTGTACCGTACTTGAATATTTGCAATTGTTAAGAAATTTCTTTATTATTGTAGTTAAACAAAAATTCTGTACAATTGTTTTTACATTAAAATTTTGAAATTTTGAATAAGGTATCCAAACGATGCAAGTCAGTCGTCAAATAATTAAAGCTTTATAATGTGCATTGATAAATTTATCTTAATTTCACTAAATTACTTTGTACGACATATTTTGAATTAGTACTTTTCCCATACTTGTAACAAAATTAGCAATTTCATTGTATCATGTCTTATGGTTAAATATCAATAATAGCATATATGTGGCTGTGTGCCACATAAAAAAATTGCATTAATTTTTAAAAAAATAGGATTTCAATTGATTGTTTAAATATTTTTATAATAATGAACTAAGCTTAGTGTACTTTAGTCTACAACAGCGTTTCCCAAATAGTGGGTTGCGACCCACTACCGAGCCATCAAAATGTAATACCGGGTCGCAGAATTTAATGAAATTCTCATATTAAATTTGTTATTTATCATTTTCGTTTGATAATTTAAACTGTTAAGTATGAAGAAGAAGTCAAATAGACAGGAGAGATGATTCAAATGTGTTTTATTTTGCGTTTTATTACATATTGGTAAATGTAAAATATTTTGGTGGGCCATGAAGGTGAAAAATATATAAATTACCGGGCCAGCCCAAATAAGAGTTTGGGAAACGCTGGTCTACAATATATAATGCAATAGATTCGCTAAATACTTTTGATATATATTATTTTTATAGAATATTAAGAATTCCAAAAAAATGTTTGTATGTATAACAATTTTAATAAAGCATTGAAATATAAATAAAAAGTAAAAATGTGTGTTTTATAATGTAATTATAAATATTTAAATAATGTGTCAAATAAATAACAACTACAAATTATAGCACTTATGTAGGTACACTTTTAGCATTTGACTATGAATGTTAGTTTTCGCAAATTATGTGAAATATTTTGGCTGTATAATTAGTTTAAATTGAAAAATTGTGCACACCATATTAATGTTTTCCATGCATAGAATATAATATGTCCAATAGCATGAGTCCTGGTGTAAGGTTAGAGTACAAAACAGTTACAAAATGAATATTCTTATTTCAATTAATTTTAGATATGGTTGTTATTATGTTTTCATGGATGTTTATAACTTCTTCAATATACATTTTCTGAGACCATTTTTAGAAGACAGCATTTTTCATTTATTTTTTTATATTATGTAAGCAACTCGCTTGAAAGCAGAGGCAGCTTCATGTTTCTGGAGCCTCCCCTGCTTCAAAGGAATATACAATACTTTAAACTTGTCGACTCCAAGTAAGGAATGGCTTGCATACCTTGTGGGCATGCTTGTAAGATACAATGATATCAAGTACTAAGGTATTTGATTTGAAAGCAATGATAAGTTATGAAAAAATCATTAATAGATGTCTGTAACAACAAACTTGAACGTTTTCAACACGATTAGAATAACTCCTGAGAATTGAGACTGTAGAAAATAACCTCTTTATAGTACTGTGCCATCCCAACATTTACAGTATGTAAAAATGCTACATCCGCCTTATTGAACACATTTCTGGACAAGTTTATCTTTTAGAAGTGCTAACAAAGAAAATTAAATACCATAATATTCATCTATTCTTTGACTTATGAATGAAAATCATAATTTTTTATGGTTGAATTCAATGCATAATAATATTGTGTATCTAATATCTATTTACTATTGGCATTTAACGGTGGATAGCGGATCACAGTAATGGAAAATTTAAGACTGTTTAAGTCATGGAACAATATGTACTGGTTACTGGTTATTATATAATATTTGTATGACAAATATAATATATTCAATATATATTCATTGTGTAATATCTTAAAATTAATCTGAATTTTTGGAAAAAATGTTCGCATTTAGAAAAATAAAATATTATAGGTAGGTTCGTATAAATTTGAAATCCTCATGAATATTAGATTCTGAGCTGAACGATAAATGTATTGATTTTACAATGATGTGTGTTTTTATTTATTTATTTTTTGTGTCTGTGATCGCGTGTTCGGGCAGTAGAAGTCTTTCGATTTTCATCAACAGCATCTTTTCTGAAAGGAAAGTGAATATAGTTGATGCAATCAGAAGGTCAAAATTTTTAATTTAAAAGCAACAGGAAAAACAAACAAAATAATTAGGAAAAAGGGGAATTTTTACGCAAAACCAGTTTTCGAGAAAATCGATTTTGGTTTCTAGTGTAACTCTAACAAAAATGACCGAAGTTACATGCAATTTTCACTGAATATTTGTGTAAGCATTTTCTATACACAGTAAAATTTTCAAAGTATTTTGATTTGTGTTAAACTATTTATAGACATATTAAATTTTGGATTATTATTTGTTTTTTTTTAAACTCGAGTCGCCGATAAAAAAATATTCGCTCCGTCAAAAAAATTGTAAATGTAATACAAGGTTTCTTGTAACTTGTTGTTGGTGGAAATTTAAAAAAAAATTCATCGTGAATCCACAATAATTTTTTATGAGCGTTTAAACTTAGAATTTTGACAAAATTCGTGAAAATCACGAAAATTAGCAATAATTATATTTAGTTATAAATTTATAAAAAAATTTCTATTTATATCTAAGATTTAAAAATGTAGTACAAGCTTCCTTATACATTTCTACCGGAAAGTCAAATTAAACTTTAGTGAGCGTTTGAAGTTGAAATTTAAACAACATTGGTTTACAACACTCGATTTTTCTTGTAGGTAGTGATTTTCTTATTTTGTTGTAATTCTAAAACGAATTTTTGTAGACACTTGAAATTATACCAAATTTTTATTTCATGAATTCATATACCTACTTGATAGTATTATTAATAATATTTTGACTCGTTTTAAGCTGTTGACAGACATTTTCAATTTTCATTTTCTTTCATTTTTTTTTCTATAAATGTCACAATAAAATTGTATTGGTTTGGTCAAAAAACATGAAAATTTAATTTAAGACTCTTGATGTATTGTTACAAGTACAGTTGAAAAATATTAAAAATTCATAGGCACGATTTTTTTTTATAAGCATCTTAAGTTCAAATATTGACAATATGTATCAAATCGAAAATGATTTTGTAGTTAAAAATGTACACAAATTTTAATTTTTATAGCTAAGGATTGAAAATTTAAAACAAGGCTTCACTTAAGCAGTTTTTTCCATAACTAAGAAATCTAAAAAATATATGAATACAGTTATTTTTTACAGACATTTTAAGTTCAAATTTGGACAAAATTGCAAATTAACACAAGAATAACGTTTAGGTATCATTTTGTTGTAATTCTGTTCCAAAACAGCTCAATTTTACATAGATATATTTAATATTTTTCCTGCATCATTGATGATTTAAGAATAATATTAATTCAACCTACCGGCTACCATATTAATAATAATTAATAACAATATAAAATATCCTACACTGACATAACATCATAGGTCGTGTCGCCGAAATACATCGCTACGTACATTACACACACACAGACCAAACAGTTAATTTCATGTGTATTGCATTTAATGGGTGGTGGACTGCAAGTTCGCCGAGCAAATTCTGAGAGTGTGTGGCGTGTGCGTGTAACTTGAACTTAAGGTTTGAAAAAGTAAGTAACTCGAAATAATGAATAGTAATAATATTATATATGTATAAATAATATATTAAGAAATAAATAATAATATTGCGGTCCCGTCGTACAACTAAAAAAGGTATGATAAAATAATAATAATCAATTGTTATTTTTACAACTAAAATATATATTAAGTGACAATAATAAATAAATAATATCTCACATGATAAGTCGGCGCACAGCCGGCCAGCTGCATTACCAGCTTATACCAGAACCTAATTTTACTCATAGAATATTCCCTCCCAAAATAATTGTATTGATTACAATACGTCAAAATGTTCAGAAAAATTATCTGAATCACATCTTGCTTTACAACATATAGTTTGTCATTTGAAAAACAAATGTTGGTATCGTCACAGGATAATCTTTAAATATTGTGAAAAATCTAAGTAGGTACACGAAAATATAGTATTTAACTACACTTAAAAATTCCAAAAATCAAAATTTGAATATATGCATAATTTAAGCATAAAAATGATGCGAGTATGCTAAAAAAATCAGCCTGTATGAATATATATATATTATAAATTAATTTTATCGCTGTACAGTGTATACGTATAATATATTGCAGACCCTCCCTCGTAATAGGTAATACCATTGATTATATTATACTACTCGCTATTAATTATTTTTTTTAAATCTGTAGATGTGTATTGTTTTTTTTCTTTTTTAATATTATCTTCATCATCATCTTTTTTTATAATAACAATCTCTGTTTCATTAGGTTTTAATAATACATTTTTAAACCTACTTTGTAAATTTTTTTTAATATTAATTATTTTCTGCATTTTTATATCTGATGTGTTTTTTAAATTATTTCCTATCTTGGAATTGTTTTGTGTTTGATCTTCAAATGCTACATTTTTAAAAAAATTTTTTTGAAATTCTTTTTGAATTTGTTTAATATCCATTTATTATATAAAAATAAAAGAAAAACATCTTCATCAGTCATCGGTATTTAAAATATTACCTTTTTTGTCATAGATTAAATTTTTTATCAAGTCTATTGTTATGAAACCATAATATGTTTTTGTTTTATTTTTTTTATCATATTTTTTACAATAAGTTCTACAAATTTCTTTAAATTTTTCTAAAGCTACACTTTTGCTAATCAAATTGGACCATATTTTTTCAAAATAATAATTTGACTGATTTTTAACAATTAAAACATTCAAATTATTTCTTATTGTTTTTATATCTACTGAAGTATAACAAATAAATAACACTAATATTTTTTTATCTTGATCATATAAAATATTCAATTACCATGTCTTGTTTTACTTTTAGAAAATCATTAAAAATCTCTGCACTATTTGGTTCACAATCATCTACAGATATTATTTCATCGTTAGAAAAATATGTGTTTATAGAAGGTATATCATCAAATATATTTTTTATTTTCTTATAAACTGGTTGATCAATATTTTTTGTAAAAATATATAGATTTAAATAAGGAATCCAATAATTTATAATCAGATCATAGTATCATACAACAAGGTTATTTTGCCGCACCCCGATGATCCTACAATTAAACAACGTGAAGGTAATTCAAATAAAGATTGTTTTTTATTTTCATCTTCAATAAAAAATTTTACTATGACTTTATCCATTTATTAAAAAAAAAAATATATTTTATTAATATAAATAAGAAATGGAAAATATTTTAAATAAGTATGATGATTATATAATGAATAGCCCCAATATAAAAGTTACATACCTCAAATTACAACAGAATTAAATAAACCTAACCGAAATACAATAGTTATAGTAGATGGTAAAGATAAATTTCTGAATATTAAAAATTCAAAACTTCATATATTATTTGATTGTGTACAAGAAGATGATACTAAATATCCAAAAAATCTAATGTTCAGATATCTGATAATGCTGGAGCATTTTTGTTTCAAAAAATTGCAATTAAATTAGGTAATAAAATTATTGATGAAATTGAGTTTATTGGAAGATCAAGTCTAGTAAAAGGTTTTATGAGTTATGCTATTGATGGAAACATTCCTACGCTAAATTCAGGATTTCAATCTGCATATGAAGGAGAAGGAAGTAGTGAGTTCATTATTCGTTTTTCAGACTTAAGTTTAGGATCGATGAAAGATATAAAATGTCCTCTTTACAATGCTAAATT